TCTTGTGGCCTCTAGCAGCTATCTCCTAGCCTATCCCTGCCTTGCTCCCTTACAACGTATGATCATCGCAGTCCAAACCACATGGAAACATGCAAGGGTAAGCTAGAGACAATAAACAACTCATAAATATCAAATATGAAACACAACTATATAATCATCTTCACATCCGACACAAAAGATAAACAACACATATATTATACATCTTAACATCATTTCAACTTGATTCCATATATCAACGTTGTATCAACACCTCAACACAACTTACAACATAACAGCACTATCATCATCCTCAATAGGATCAACATACAACACAATCACAGCTTAACAACATAACAACTCATCAACAACTTATGTGTCGTCACGCATTTCAACTCGGAGATCTCCAACAACTGAGGTTGAGTAGTCTAGGTGGCATAAACCCTACCGAATCTAGCGTTTGACCTATCTCAACCAGGTCAGGTATAGAACAGCGTTAGGAACTCCGAAGAGAACCAGGTATAGATAATAATAGGCGATTGCTCAAGTGTGCCACTTAGACTCGGAGGTCCAGTACTACTGTCAGGACAGAAGGGTTTGGGTATGAGCCTACCACGGCCTTGGCTAGCATCACCAATCCACATATGGAGTTAGCCCACCCACTGTCCTCCAAGTACCATGCACCCTCTAGTACCTAGTCAAAGACTACATCTCTAACTAGATACCTTACTCAAATTGGTCATTCAACCATGAGAAGGGAAAGAGGAGGAAAAAATTTTAAATTAAAATGTTTTAAAATAATTATAGTATGTTTATATTTATGTTTATTTTAAGTTTTAAAAAAATATTAGTGAAAAAAATTTTATGATTAAAATTTAGTATATATCAAAATAATTTTTATTTTAGGGTTTAGGCCGGTGAAGTAATAAAAATTAAATTTATATGGTTTTAAATATATAATTGTGATGTAGTAGTATAAAATTTATTTGGTTAGGGTTAAAAAAAATTTATGTTTAAATGTAATTTTTTTAATAATAATAATTTTGATGTAGTAGTATAAGATTATTTTGTTTAAGGTTTAATTGATTATTCGTTATTAATGGGCATAAATATTTATTATTTTAATTTTATGCACATGTTTTTTGATTTTGTATAATTTCATAATGTCTCGTTAAAGAGTTAATCCGGGACCCACTGATGATTCTTTTTTGACTATGCAATCAATTCATCTATCTGAGCGCATATGGAATGGTGAGCCTGATAGAGTTCTTAATATTAGAAGAGCTACCAAAAGCGGCCATCGAGATAGGTCAATTCTTAACAAAGTTAGACCTTATCTTGCATGAGAAGGAATACTGGGAGTGACAGAAATGTCATACTTTCTTATTGACCACTAGTTAATTTCAAGATTAGTTGACCGGTGGAGGCCTAAAACACACACTTTTCACATGACATTTAAAGAGTGTACAATTACATTGGAAGATGTTTCAAAAAATTTTGGTCTTAAGGTACCTGGAGACCCAATTATAGGTTGTTCAACATATAAATGAGTTTCACTTGTTGAAGATTTGTTTGGAATTACACCAACATCAACTGCAACTAAAGGTGGAAGCCTAAATATGAGTTAGGTTGATCAATACTTTTTTGATGTTTCCATGCATGTGCACAACGTGCAACAAATTGAACGATATGCCCAAACTTATATTTTGTGGTTGTTTGGGGTATGTTTTTCTCTGACAAGTCTTCAACTCTAGTACTTATGCAATATTTGGTCATTTTAACAGATTTAGACCAATGTGGCAAACTTAGTTGGGGATCAGCCTTGCTTGCTCATTTATATAGAGAACTTTTCGTTGCCACTAATTATGACAATAAATTAATTAGTAGGGCATGTGTTTTACTGTAATTGTGGGCATGGTATCGGATGTCGTAATTTACACCCCCTAACTACACCACTAAATATTGTTAGCATTCCTTTAGGTGCAAGGTAACATTTTAAATTAAATTGCCTTATTTAATATTAGATTTAACATTAGATAAATATTTTTAATTAATTTGTTAAATTTTCATATTTTTAGGTGGAATAGTGCCTTGTAGGTGACACAAAGAACTCTTGTCTAGATTTTGGATGCGTTAGATAAGATGAAGGAAAAAGATGTACGTTGAGAGTTTTTGTTAATTACAAATTTAAAGTGGATATATTGAAATTAGTATTCATATATAACTTTTTGTGCTTTTTGTGTGCAGTTTGTTTGGCAGTCATACCTTCAATATTTTATTCACTACCACCATATTGTGTATAGAACACAAATATTTGGAGGGCGGTTGTGCCATTGATAGACTTTCATATAATTGGGTATCACCATGTTGACCATGTGATGCATCAGTTTGACATGGTACAACACATTCCTTGTCCTCCACATCAGCCAGATAATTTGCACGATCTAACTTTAAGTGGCAAAGATGATATTGTTTGGCAAGTTCAGCATGTTGTCTTTGTACACGAGTGGGAAACAAGATTAGACTATGTTTGGACACAAGAGGCTTGTACTACTACACATTTAAGTAGTTGTTCAAAGTACATGATGTGATATAAAAGACACATTAGACGTTAGATTGGACACATTACTACAAAATAAGGTTATGTTGTAAGTCATATTTAACAATAATGTTTTATATATATAATTAATTGATTTGGTTGTTTATATTTGTGTTTTAGGGTAATTTGAACATGTAAAATTAACAAAAAATTTATTTACAAAAGGACATTATTGAGGAAATGTATTATAAGGCCAAAACAAACCTAGAAGCAGTTTTTCAATGGAGGAATTGACTGAAGAAGGGAAAGAGGAGGAAAAAATTTTAAATTAAAATGTTTTAAAATAATTATAGTATGTTTATATTTATGTTTATTTTAAGTTTTAAAAAAATATTAGTGAAAAAAATTTTATGATTAAAATTTAGTATATATCAAAATAATTTTTATTTTAGGGTTTAGGCCGGTGAAGTAATAAAAATTAAATTTATATGGTTTTAAATATATAATTGTGATGTAGTAGTATAAAATTTATTTGGTTAGGGTTAAAAAAAATTTATGTTTAAATGTAATTTTTTTAATAATAATAATTTTGATGTAGTAGTATAAGATTATTTTGTTTAAGGTTTAATTGATTATTCGTTATTAATGGGCATAAATATTTATTATTTTAATTTTATGCACATGTTTTTTGATTTTGTATAATTTCATAATGTCTCGTTAAAGAGTTAATCCGGGACCCACTGATGATTCTTTTTTGACTATGCAATCAATTCATCTATCTGAGCGCATATGGAATGGTGAGCCTGATAGAGTTCTTAATATTAGAAGAGCTACCAAAAGCGGCCATCGAGATAGGTCAATTCTTAACAAAGTTAGACCTTATCTTGCATGAGAAGGAATACTGGGAGTGACAGAAATGTCATACTTTCTTATTGACCACTAGTTAATTTCAAGATTAGTTGACCGGTGGAGGCCTAAAACACACACTTTTCACATGACATTTAAAGAGTGTACAATTACATTGGAAGATGTTTCAAAAAATTTTGGTCTTAAGGTACCTGGAGACCCAATTATAGGTTGTTCAACATATAAATGAGTTTCACTTGTTGAAGATTTGTTTGGAATTACACCAACATCAACTGCAACTAAAGGTGGAAGCCTAAATATGAGTTAGGTTGATCAATACTTTTTTGATGTTTCCATGCATGTGCACAACGTGCAACAAATTGAACGATATGCCCAAACTTATATTTTGTGGTTGTTTGGGGTATGTTTTTCTCTGACAAGTCTTCAACTCTAGTACTTATGCAATATTTGGTCATTTTAACAGATTTAGACCAATGTGGCAAACTTAGTTGGGGATCAGCCTTGCTTGCTCATTTATATAGAGAACTTTTCGTTGCCACTAATTATGACAATAAATTAATTAGTAGGGCATGTGTTTTACTGTAAAACAATGTTAAACTTCAGCTCTAATTAGAGAATAATGTTAAACTTCAGCTCTAATTAGAGAATAATGTTGGAATTAAGATAAAATCCTATATCAATTAAAATAGAAGAAATATAAAAGTTTATAAATTCATTAAAAAAAATACATTTTGAATAATGATCAAAAATAAAATCTTAAAGAAAAAATTTATAAAATAAATAATATCTTATCATTTGAAGTATATATATATATATATAT